CGGACGGGAAGGCGCGTGTGGACACACCGAGCGACGCCGACACTGCCCGCGGAGCCCACGGGCCCCGGGACGGGTGGGCAGCCAGCGCCCGAGCCCGGTACGGCACACTCACCTGCCCAGTGACCCCTGCCAGGTGAGTCGCGGGCTCTGCTCCCAGGGAACAAGTGACAGGACAGGAGGAAACTGATAGAAGTTGTTCCCCGGGAGGTTTAGGTTGGATATTAGGGAAAAGTTGTTCCCTGAAAGGGTTGTCAAACCCTGGCACAGGCTGGGCAGGGCTGGTGGAGTCAACAATCCTGGGGGGGGTTTAAAAGCCATGTGGATGTGGTGCTTGGGGATATGGTTAGTGGTGGCCTTGGCAGTGTTTGGGGGTTAGCTGGGGTTGGTGATCTCAGAGGGTTTTCTCAACCTTAGAAATTTTACCATATTCATGAAGTGTTTTTCATAACTTAACTCTTTCAGGATCAGCATGGCCAACCGGGAAAGTCAGCTGCTGGTTAGGTTGTACACGAACTATCCAGATACGGTGGTAGATATTGGGGAAATACTTTTAGGAGAGAAACACAGAAAGAAGATTGCCTCTGACAATCTGAAAAGGCAACAAAATGACTTTTCCATAGCAGTGTGTGCATTACTGAATTCAGGAGGAGGAATAGTGAGGATGGAGAGTAAAGACAGGAATTACAGCTTCCAGAAGGATGGAATTGGTCAGGACATTGAGAAGATCCTCAGGGATTGTATTGGTGGGAACAAGACTGATGAGTACTTCACCTGGATGCAGCAGGGAAGTAACCTGCTGCTTTTTGTCAAAACATGGAGCTGTGGAGACCTGGAGCAGGGAAATGCAGCCACAAAACCACGTCTCTGCAGCTTGAGCACTGGTATGTTTTATAGGTCTGGCACTTCAGTTCTCTCTGTGTCTTCAGGAGAAGCTGCTAATTTCCTTAGAATGAAGAAAAGCAGTGCCAACTGCTGCAGTGAGAATGAGCTGAGCTCAAAGAAAGCTCGGCTGAGTTTAGGTGAGGGTGCAAGGAAGACCCATCGGAATATCCAGGAGCACGACATCCAAGATGCCGTGGCCGAGTTTATAAAGAGAGACAGACTGCTGGCTGGGGAGGTCCTGGATTTTACAGAAACAACACATATCGAATTTAAGGAATACAGTACAAAACATATCTTGAAATATGTGGTAAAAACCCTTCCAAAATATGTCTCTGCCTTTGCAAATACTCAGGGTGGCTATTTAATTTTTGGTGTGGATGACAACAGTCGAGTCACTGGAACACATGGTGATGTGGAAAAAGAAGCTTTAGAGAAAACAGTGGCCACTACCATCAACTCATTGCCTGTCCATCACTTCTGTGGCTCTGGGGCTGGCGTGCAGTTCCAGACACACATCTTGAGTGTTTATGACAAAGAAGGTTGTTCCAGTGGCTACGTCTGTGCAGTGCACATTGAACAATTCTGCTGTGCTGTGTTCCATGGTGCCCCTGAATCCTGGATGGTGACAGGTCACACCACCGAAAGGTTGAGCGTTTCTAAATGGACGAAGCTCATGACAGCTGCAGACCCAGGTAAAATCTGCATTTGTGTTGGTGCCACACTGGGCTGTAAACATCCAGGAGGAAAGGCCAGCTTGTTTTGCTGGGTGTTCTCACAAGTCCTTCCTGCTGCTGCTGCTCCCCATGGACAGCACTTTGCACACTACCTATAACAGAGCTTTTTTCTTCCCCCAAGATCTGTCAGATCTGGCTGATAGATTTAGGACTGAGCTCAGCTTGGCACGCAGCCCTCCTCTGACCAAGCCAGTTTACTCCAACATTGGTCTCCAGTGTGCAGCTGAACTCCAAGGCTGTCTCTACCCAGGTAAGCCTTTTGTTCTCTGGGTATTGAATTTAAGCTTGTATTTGACAGAACATCAAGGAAGATTGCACAATAGAAATACCAGTTGTTAGGCAAATGACTGTTAGGGTATTTAAAAGACGCAACTGCTCTGACAATATTGCTTTCCCTGATTTTTCAACTGTTTTGATGTCTTCTCCTATTTTTGTGACTAAGTATAATCCCTAATGCACACAATTGCTGAGAATATACCTAGTATCCTGAGGCTTTGAGTGGTGTCTGAGCCCTGTTAAGTTCAAAAGTCTTTTGACCACCTGGTATAACATCTTCCTCTAGTAACTGGAGAATTGAGTAAATTATTTTCTGTGTTTTGCTTGTCTCATTTTTTTCCCCCTAGTGGGTTCTGATGAAATCAAATGGATGCCAGAAACCCTCTGCACTGACCTCTTCTCAGAGTATCCTGGATTAGAGGATGTAATGAGAGGACAGCTCCGTGGACTTACCAAGGGGGTACTGATATTTTCAAGGAGTTGGGCTGTTGACATTGGATTGTGGAAAGAACAAGATGTTGTGTGTGATGCTCTCTTAGTAGCTGAAAACGCGTATCCAGTGTTGTATACTGTAGTCAAGGATGCCTCTTATGTCAGGTCTGGACGCTGCAGAGAAACTGCTCGTACATTAAAGCAAAAACTAGTCAATGATGGAGGATATACTTCCAAAGTGTGTGTGATTCCCCAGATCCTGCAGCTGAATGCTGCAAATGACCAGATGGAAGTTGTCGTGAATGATGTTCCCTGGCAAGAAGCCCCATATGATTACACCAGCTTGTACCCAAGGGATTACATCCTCAGCTCCAGGGACATCCCTGCCTTCCTGCAGGCACTCGTGATTGTTGTGCTGAGCTTTAAGTCCTACTTAAGTGACCGTCTTGGCTGTGAGATTTTCAACCTTCTCACTCGCACACAGTTTGAGCTACTCTCCAAGAACCTGCACAAAGTCAGGAAGTTGTTTGTCCTTGGTCTGCCTGGAACAGGCAAAACAATTGTGGCTTTGAAAATCATGGAGAGAATAAAGAACACTTTTCACTGTTCTCCAGGGGAGATACTCTACATTTGTGAAAATCAGCCCTTGAGGGACTTCGTGGGGTAAGCATTTCCTCTTTTTTTCTCTCATTCCATCCTCTGTGCCTACAGCACAAACCATGCTGCTTTTCCCCATTTGTCAATTTTATGCCTTTGGCTGGCACACACGCACGGTTTCATCTCAAGGAAGGTGTTAATATTGAAAGTGGGATTGAGCTCTGGCCGAGATCCTTCCTTCTTGTCCTTCCCACGGGAGCCCAGGCCCCACACTGCTTTCCCTGCTCCAGGGAGAGCAGGGCACAGGGGCCCACCAGGGAGCCTTGCTGTGGGGGCCCCATGCAGGAAGGTGGGTATGAGCCTCCTCCTCCCGGGGTAGGTTCAAAGCTGGTGGGGGCTGCACAGCCATGCCTGTGCACAGACAATCCCTTGGATGACATGTTTCCATGGGGAAAAGGACACAGCATGGTGCAGCTGGGATGGGCAGTCTGGCAGTGTTCAGCAGTGTGTGGCACTAGTCCTGCAAGCAAGAAGCCGTGGAGAGATGGAGGCAGTCAGTAAGGGCTGGTCACACCTGCTGTTTGTTTACCATATTCTTCTTTTGGGTTTCTGTTTCTTGTAGAAATGAAACCTGCAGGGCAGTGACCCGAGCTGCCTTCTTAAAGGGGAACTTCCCAGAAGTGAAACACATTGTGGTTGATGAAGCTCAGAATTTTCGCTGTGATGAAGGAAACTGGTACCAACGTGCCTGGTCAATGGTCAAAGGAAGAGGTGGTGTTTTATGGGTCTTTCTGGATTTCTACCAGACCACTTACCCATGTGCTTGTGGTCTTGAGCGTTCTGAAATGTATCCTCAGGAATTGTTGACCAAAGTGGTCCGTAATGCCACGCAAATATGTAATTACATGTTCAATCTAATGAAGAATATCCTCGAAGCAGGTAACATACCTGTGCCCTGTGAGGTGCTGCAAGACTTGTTGAATCAGGCTGAATGTGCCCATTCTTTGCCAGGTGACTGCATAGTGGAAGAAAACATGGAAAGCAATGAATTGGCAGCGTATGTGAGCAGGCAGTGCAAGAGTTACTTGGAGAAAGGCTATCCCTTTGGAGATATTGCGATCCTGTGCGGCACAGTGTCTTCAGCTGAGGAGTTCAGAAAGGTACTGCAACCTGAACTGCAGAGACAAATAAGGAAGTGCAGAGTCAGGAAGGTCTTGGGGCTAGCGGAAGATGTTTCAAAAGACGTCATTGTTCTTGACAGCATCCGACGCTTCTCAGGCCTAGAAAGGAGGATTGTGTTTGCCATCCACCCTTATGCTCCACAAACAGAGATAGTTCTCAGCCTTTTGCTCTGTGCAGTGTCCAGAGCCAACACCAAACTCCATTTGCTGTATCAGAAGGAAAGATATTTTTAAGAGGCTGTTCTGCCAATTGACGCATGCAACAAAAATGACCCACACAGAAAGAATAGGGTTATTTTACTATTGGTGTTTCCACAGATTCAGGTCCTAGGTGGCTGCCTACACAACACATTTGACCAGCCATCCACCGTGGAGAATGCAAGACTGAAGCAAGGCCATGGATGGGAGTTAAGCTACATAAGGAACTGTGCAGAAAAGAATGTTGTAAAGCAAAAATAATTGTGCTAAAAACAGAAGTAAAAGATCCCTTAGACACTTTGATAAGACTTGTAGAAAAGATGTTTCTTTTGTTACAACCAGTGCTTTTGTTGCTACTTTTTTTTTTTTTTGTACCTGGAGCTGCAGCAGGACACAATTACAACAACCTGAAAAAATTAGCATGTTGGAGCATAAAACAATTCAAATTCACTTCCCAAATGATTGCTGAATTAATAACCAATGTGGATAGCATCGGACATACAGTATTGCAAAATTGTGCTGCTCTTGATTTTTTGTTCTTAGCTCAAAGACACGGTTGTAAGGAATTTGAAGGAATGTGTTGTATGA